AGCTGAACTCATTTACCAACCACGCAAAAACTGCGGAGCTAGATGTGCGGCACGCACAATGCATTGTTTTCGATTGGAGAGAGGCGAGTATAAAGCAGTAAGGAATTGTTGGCCAAACTTTCGGCAGATAGGTCTACTCGGGAGCGTAAGTGGGGTAGCAACCCATGGTGGAGCGTACATGAGAAGCTGGACGTTGGTGTACGCCCCATCCCGGCGTGTGAGTAGGATCTTAGGCTATGCAAGTCGTCCCTAAACTTATTGTGGTAAACATGACCTCCCAGGAGGTAAACAGCCTGTGCCGCAGGACTTCGGAGATGATAAATTGGGTGGTCGGGGGACGTCTGGGTGCTAACTAAGCAGAGCTCCCGGCACAAGACTGGGGTGCTTGTGCCAGGAGGTGTGAACTTGGATCCAGACTACGAGCCTGTGTTGGAGGCGCTATTTAGCGTCGGTGAACCGGCAAAAGAACTGAAAGGAACCACAACCCCCGCCGGACACTCGGATTGGGAAGGCCGAGTATTCCTATTACCTTCCTGAAAAAACACGAAAAACAAGTGGCCACGGTCCAGTTGCCGTAGAGATCATGAGGATGGTGAAGAAGCTTGGAGGATGGAAGCAGAAACTGTGGAAGGGAGTAAAGTTGGATCTGTTGCTGTTTGGGATTCCAAGGGACATGACGAGGATAGAGTTCAAGAACTGTTGTGACAGGGAGGGACTGCACTGCCTAGCAAGGGGACAAGTAGGCAGAGAACATGAACACTTCCGGGTGAAATTGACCAAGGGAGACAGCCAAGAGTGCTTGGGGGTTGATATCGAGAAGCTGTCGAACTACGTAAGGAAGTTTGGATGGAGGGTTTGCATCGCGAACATGATAGAAACAGAGAAGGTAAGGAGACAAGAGGCGAGGGCGACGGAGGCGAAGAAAGGACCGAGCAGGGCAGTCGAGCAAGCAAGTCAGAAGAAGTCCGAGAAGAAGCGGAAGGCGAACGATAGAGTGCGCAAAATCTCCAATAGGGAAAAGCGCAAGCTGAGAGTCGGGTCGTGGAACGTGTGCGGGTTCGCAAGGAGTGAGCGCAAGCGGTTGGAAATAGTGGACCAAGTAGAACAAAGCGATCTAGATGTAGTGGGGATCCAAGAGACGTGGGAATTGAAGGATGGTGACGTGGTAAGCAAACTAGGGAAATACCGGTGGGTAGGGAAGGCAAGAAAGGGCTTAGACCCGAAGAAAAGGGGGGAGGGGGGAGTCGGATTCCTGGTCAAGGAACACTTGTTTGACGTGGTGGAAGTAGTGGTGAAAACGGAGTTCGAGGCAAGCCTATGGCTGAAGATATCTTGGGAGCGGGGTGAGAAAGATTTGTTTCTAGGAAAGGTGTACGTCCCACCGTCGTAGAAGAAAGTCGCAAGCAAGGCGCAGGAGAACCTTGGACAAATTGGGGAAGATGTCCAGAGGTTCAGTAGGAAGGGAGAAGTTGTCATGG